TACAGTATTTGAAAAATAATGTGTTTTTTGAACATTAAAGCATGTCAACATATTCTGTTACACCAAATACACAAAATAATGATCTTTAAAAAAGCATCATATGACCCCTTTAATGCGCCGCAGACGCGTGCCGTGATGCGCAGATCAGCTCTAGTCTCTAACGTCACTGAATCTGCTGTTAAAAATGAGCCATCTATTCATCATATCATCATGCAAAACTAAGAATTAGAATCATTGTAATGTGACGATCAAATATAGGTGCGGGTGGGTGGCGGGCGGATAATTTGAAGCAGCGGACTCGGGTGAAATTTAAACCAGGGGTTAAAGCAAAAAAAAATCCTGAGCCTGAACTTTTTTCCGGGGGTTGGGGGTTGCGGGGGTGGACACATACACAGGGTTATTTGACAAAAAAAAAAAAGAACATTATTTGAAAAAGATTTTCCTTGAAACTAACTAGTAACGTATCTGCCATTGCCATTAGCCATTGACAGGCTCAGACTACAGATTATGGTGGGATATTTGAAACAGCAATACCAAGAAAGTTTACTCACTACAATATGGTGCAAACCCATGTAACATTTAGGATGCTAAAGTTAAGACTACCTACAATCTAAAACATGAAATTTCTGAAATTGTTTTGTTAAAAATAAATAATGGTAAATTAAATACTAGGAAATGAATATAAAATAGTAAATATACAAAGACGTTTACTACAGAAAACTACAGTTCAGTTCAATTAACAACAACAAAAACATTAAAATGGTCCAAAAACTGGTAACTTGAACAGGGTTCATACAGATGTTGTAAAATAAAATTCCAGGACTTTCAAGGACTTGCACTACTTTTTTGGTTTTCAAGGACTAAAATCAGATCTCACTTATCAATCAATATTGCTATTATCTGGCAGCTGAGAAATGGAGCATGGGGAGAGAAATGCTGTCTGCCCCCAGAGAGCTCATACTCCCTTATGTCACAGTCATACAAGACGACCTGAATGAGAGCATGTCCAGGAAGAAGGAAACACAATCTTTGAAGCAGGGTTCAAATGTGAAGCTTTACACACCAGTTTACGTTAATGTGGAATCCTTTTTTAGCCTAGCACTATGCTGTTATTTATGCCGACTGTATGAACTCACGATGAGGCAATAATAATTGGCCTCAAATAAAGTATCAAAACCAAGTACATGGTTTTATTGAACAACACTCTTAAATACAATGTAATATGCCTATATTATAACAAATACCTGCAGAGAGTGCCAACGGCCTGGTGATGTTTCATGTGATTCAACGATGTTTAAATCCTTTTAATTTTCATATTTGGCCACATGCAAAGTCAGAAACTTTCATTTTGAAATAGGGATGCACAATAAATCACATATTTAGAAATATGTTGATGTATTCTCCTGTGTTGGCATAGGTTTAAATGATTTACGTTACAAATCAAGTGAGTTTTCCCAGATGAACGTTAAGCAACCCAAACTCACCGCATATGCAGAGGAAGAGTTTAGCCCCTTTCACACATAAAGTCTTTACTGGTAAATTACCGTTAAGAGATCATGTGTGAACAGGACCTTTTCAAAAATACAGGCAAATTCGTTCTCGCAATCATATCGTTCTTATGGAAGGCGAACTCATGAACTCGAACGTGATATCAACAAGTGTTTTTAAATGTAGGACGACTATCTTTTTTTTCCCGCAGCCAAACGCCGCACGCCGGAGATCCGGCACGGTGCCGGATAACTTTAAGCCCTGTTGAGCTCCTCCACGCATCTTTACAGTGACCTGGGTCGCCAGTAGCAAACAATGGAGCATTATGTAATAAGTAATTACACCATTCAGAAGCATTTAATATATGTTATATGTTCTGCGTTATATGTTCTGTAAAAAAAAAAAGTTTATATCGGCGGCATATTCGCCGATACCGATATATCGGCGACAGGCTCATATCGGCCGATAATATCGGCTAAACGATATATCGGTCGGGCTCTAATTGATATTACTTTCTATGTTCATCATCACACTGAAAATGGAATTAAAGGTCAGGTGCATTGCACTGTGGGATACATTATTCTACAGTGTGCTCTGGTTGCATACTGCGCATCTTAGCGTGCAGTAGTTCATCCAGACATTCTATGCAAATAGAGTGCATTAGTGTCTGCCCACTTTTTGAACTATGTTTCCCATTCATTTTTTTTTTAAAGTTTTCGTTAAAAAGTTATAATCCATGAATTAAATCAACCGGCTACAAGGTTAATCACAATGTTAATAAATCTGAAGCAAAAAAAGTATTTGGAAATCAGCACAATTTTGCTTGCTGTGATTCTCTGATTGGTGGAGCTTCTTTTGCAGAATCATGAGTAATGTTGTTTTTCACCAGAAATGTTGCTATGCAATGCAACAAAAGCATGCATTAACAACCTCGAAGCTCATAGTATGTCTTTAAAATCAATTTAAATATGTAGAAAATAAATGAGATTTTACTTCCAGAACCCGACAAACTGTCTACATCATAAGAGTAGTATGCCAACTCGAACGCTAATTCGAATTCGAGACTGAACACTTGGAGAATCGGTTCGAATGATTCATTAAAAAGAACCGGTTCAAAAGAACGATTTGCTCACGAGTCGGACATCACCAGAACTCGCCTGTCCAGCCGTGAGAGGGAACAGAACAGCTGACACACACAAACACGAACAGAGGGAGTCAAAGGAAACACTATCAAAATTCAGTACTTGTCCCACGCACACAGGCTGACTCACAAACAAACACACAGTAGCCTATTTTAACTACACGACCAGGGTCCTGAAATCCGACCCGAAAACCTTCAAATTAGGTCAGCCAAATGGTTGCAGTCCCGTTGCACTGCTTCACACAGACGTCCCTACGTCATTAATTACAATCTAAACGGGACGCTGTGTGCACACGCATTTATCAATTAATCTTTGAGGAAAAAAACGAGCAAACATAAAACAACGTCCCGCGCGCGAGCAAACATCTGCACACATTTCTCACTCACCCAGAATATGAAATTGAAGACAAACATCAGATACTTGCACATCTCTCCTCCAGTCAACGCCGCCATCACAGCAGTCTGTTCTCACACACAATGCTGAATGAAAGAGTAACGGATCCGTCCGTGTCCCAGTGTCTGTGTGACTTTACGCGCGTGTAGGCGGCTGAGTGTGTAGAGCGCGTGCACGGAAAACCCCCGACAGACTCGAACCCACTGCCTCATCCCTCCGCCAAAGATCAACTTTGCAATCGTTTGCTCGGTGAGGCAAAATCGAGCGTGTCAAGGGTCAAACACTTTTTTTTGCATCGACCCAGTTGCTATTTTTGGAGGATTAGTGAAAATCGTGCGTACGCTTTATTTAGTTATGGTTGTTGGAGTTTTGCGAGGAATCTTTTTTAACCATTTATTTAATCGTAAAATCCACTCGGTCTTTAATTACGTCACGATGGAATGACGTCAGAGCAGAGCCCAGAGGTTTCTTCCACTGTACCTTATAAGAAAGATATTATGTTTGTACGTGCTTCTATCTTAGACATTTTTTCTTTGACGTTAAAGGATGTCTTATTTGGTTTTCAAACCTCTAACAGGAATCTAAAAGACAAGTATTTTCTAATAAATCCATTTATTTTCCTAGATACGTTTTTTATTCATAAATGCACATTTTTGTCTGTTAAACCTCTATTTATTATTTTTTGTAAAGACTTGAAATGCTATTTGGATACTATCCTTCTTCCAGCAATGTTAAAGCCTTGAAATCCTATGCGTTGTGCACGAAGTATAATACTTATGCTTTTTTATAATGTGCTATTGACTATGTGTTGTATGTATAAGGGAGGCAGGGATTTAGCAAAGGTTGTTTTCTCTCTCTCTCTCTCTCTCTCTCTTCTTTTTTCTTGAATTTATTTTAAATTATATATTACCACTGGCTTAATGTTTTCTTTTTCTTTGTATATTGTTTATATTATGTCTCTTATTGTTTTTGTTGTAATCTGTTTTGAGCTGTAAATGTGTGTATTTACCTTTATATATGTTCAAAAAAAGAAAAAGAAAAAGGTTTCTTCCACTGATCAGTGGTTTCTCTAAGACATTTTTAAATGTTGCATGTCCTGTGAACTTTATTAGGCTATCTATAGATATGTGGGTGTTAACAACACCTGCCCGCTTTTTGGAAATGAAGATGAATTGAATATTAATGTTCTCTTTCATTGAAATGAAAGAGAAATAATTTCGTTTTACTGAAACACTTCAGGTAGATCATTGTGATTTTGGCCATTTCTTCATTTTAAATGATACGTTATTAGTTTCACATTTGTCTCACTGACTTTCTACTCTTCTTCACTTTCACTCATTTCTCATACTAAAAATAAGAAAAATAACAACTGAAGCACCACAGCAGCTCTCATTGACTCACAATTCCCACACGCATGAATTCATAATCAAGAATTACAGCATTATTAGAGTTATATGCATCCACACACATTTGATATCTGATGGATAGAGATCTGGAATGTGCAAATATACATAAATACCCACACACACATATATTGGTAGGGTTGGGTTAGTAGTGTTTATAATTAAGTTTACATCAAAACAAGTCTATAGTATGTCCTCATTTACATTGCTATTATGCATACTTGTGAAGGAGAGTGAAAGATCAATAGCATATGTCCTCTCTCTCTCTCTCTCTCTCTCTCTCTCAGCCTATTAACTTTTTATTGACATCAAAGACTGAGCATCCCTCAACTCTGTATTCTGCCAAAAACAATCCATTATACACCTTTCTGTAGTAAAAAAAAAAAAACGGTCTTGTCTGAATCAGAAGAGAAATATGCACAAATCAAGCAAATCGACAGTCCAGAACAGTTCTAAACAAATATGTTGGTGATTTTGATGTGAGAGAACAACATGAAATGGATAGTGTTTTTATGTATTATGGACTATTTTGGGTATTTAGGCCAAAAACAACAGTTTAAAGTTAAAAAACCTTAATGATGGATTTAAACATGCAGCTTTTTACTTTACAAGATGTTAATTGTTGGACTGGAGTCACATGGATTACTTATGGATTATGATATTAATTATGTTTTTATCAGCTGTTTGGACTCTCATTCTGACGGCACCCATTCACTGCAGAGGATCCATTGCTGAGCAAGTGATGTAATGCTAAAGTTCTCCAAATCTGTTCTGATGAAGAAACAAACTCATCTACATCTTGGATGACCTGAGGGTGAGTACATTTTCAGCAAATTTCCATTTTTTGGGTCCTTTAAAGTTGTCAATTTTCCTATTCAGTCTATTTTATGCTAATATATTAGCATATTGTTGGGCCTTTGTTCAAATTACTTTTCAGTACTGTGTCAAATATACTGTACAATCTGGAAGCAAGGATATGATGTAAGACTCATGTTTTTGCCAGCAAGTTCAGGGTCAACAACGAAAGGTAGCATGAAAAAGCCTATATTAATGATGAATGCATGGAGTTCATGTGAACATGCTCTGATTACGCCGTTGCAGTGAGGTTTTTCCAACAGTTAATCCATCAGTTTCAGAGAAGGGTTACATCACAGAGGCTGCGAACTCACTTCATATGCTGCGGTTTGTGTGAGTGTGTGTGCTGTTTGGCTTGGCACTAATGTCGGTTTGTCTTATCTGTCTTCACTGCCAGACTAATCCTTCAGTTCCTACAATACCCAGACTTCCTCCTATTGTCCTCTCTTAATGAGTTTAAAAACGGAAATCACACCATCCCTCCCTCTCTCGTTCTTATAAAGCAGTTCTTTCCTTCTAGACTGGGTTCCAGTCATGTCTTCGGGATTGTGAGACACTGGACAGCGAAGACCTTGCACAGCAAAGCACTTCAGAGAACCTGTTGCTGGGAGCCTGCAGCTGGTCAGAGGTCAAAGGTAACAGGTGTCACACTATCAGCATGCTATCTTAAAAATGCATTAAATATGCATTTGTTTCTGTGATTATTTCAAATCCTTGTATTAGCGATTGTACATCTGTTTGCTTGTTTAAGGCTTATGTTTTGCTATTTAAGCATGCATGGTAATGTACAGTGAGTGTTTGTGAATATATCATGCTCAGTTTTCCCGTTCTAAGCTCATGCTCAAGAATAACAGCATTCTTTCTGTGCCGTCTATGTGGAATACGTGAGTTGTCTAAAACTCTCTGACAGATTTGTAGGTGCTCAGAGATTTCTGCTTTGTTTCTCACTTCCAGCTGAACTTTTGCTTTGGCTCCTGCTATTATTTTTCACTAAATGAAACCCCCAAATGCTCACTTCAGTATATTGTTGATGGCCAGCAATTGTGCATTAGACTTTTACATTTTGTGGGAAAAAAGTACAGGGTCCCTTAACGTTGCAATGCAGTATGCTTCCTATGGTGTTCTGGGTGGTTGAGTTGATTACTAACTGGACTAAGTCTCTTATGATTTCTTTCTCTTTCTTTAATCAGATGGAACAGTGCAGATGGAAAGGATGGAGTAGAATCCTGTGGGTTTTCGTCTTGAATTTTCCAGGTTAGAATCGAGGATGCTTGTGCATGTTTGCAACTCCTGTCTGTTGGTTTTGTTTAGACGTTTCTTAAATGTTATGTTTTTTTTTTTTACTTTTATTTTGCAATGATGCATTAAATTGATCAAAAGTGATAGTAAAGACTTAAGATATTTTAAGTAAATGCTGTTTTTTATTTTCTATACATAATTCAATCCTGAAAAAAGATATCAAGATTTCGACAAATATATTAAGCAGAACAACTGTTTTCAACATTATAATAATAATAAATGTTATTCTTGAACATCAAATCAGCATATTAAAATGATTTCTGAAGGATTAGTTGACAGTGAAAATTCATCTTTGCTATCACAAAAATAAATTACATTTTAAAATACATTAAAATAGTAAACAGTTATTTTAAATTGTAATAATATTTCACAATATTACTGTTTTTACTGTATTTTTGATCAAACAAATGCAGGCTTGGTTCTTTCGAAAACATTTAAAATCTTACCGACCCCAAACTTTTGAACATTAGCTGTTGCTTTGATTAAAATCTATTGTGCAAGTGCTTAACTCTCTTTACCTCTTTGTTCTGTAGGTTTGGTGTCAGTTGAGGGGTCTGGTCGCTGTAGTCTGTTTAGCCGGCAGCATATACACACATTTGACGGTGTGATTTATGAGTTCCCTGGAGACTGCAGCTACATGCTGGCGGGAGACTGCCAACACAGAAGCTTCTCCATACTGGGTAAAAGCCAGTCTCACACACACACACACACACGTCTGGTTTGCTATCTTTGTGGGGACTCTCCATAGGCGTAATGGTTTTTCTACTGTTCAGACCGTATATTCTATTGCCCTACATCAACCCTACACCTAAACCTACCCCTTACAGGAAACTTTCTGCATTTTTAGATTTTCAAAAAACTTCATTCTGTGTGATTTATTAGCTTGTTTACCCGTGGGGACCTCAATTTAGCTCCCCACCGTGACACGAGTCCCCATGAGTCTGTGTGTATTCAGGTTTAAGTCCCCACCAGAATAGAAAAACAGGTACACACATCACACACACATCCACACACACACACACACACACACACAGTTTTTCATGAATTAAACAAACTATGGCAAAGTACATGTACACTGTCAATATGATAAAATGCCTTCTTTTGTGTATGTTTATGTCTAGGTGATTTCTCTCATGGAAAGAGGAAAGGAGTGACTTTATTTCTGGGAGAATTCTTCGAGCTTCACCTCTCTGTTGATGGGACACTGTCACAAGGCGCAGAGAGGTACAAGTTGTACATTTCCTAGTAAAAATATAAAAGAAAATGCTTATGGATTGCTAATGGAATTTCACATGTAAATGATAAACTGAAAAAAACTATTGAAAAACATGTTTTGAAAACTGGAATGTGAAAAAATAACTGTAAAAAAGAAGATTCTACGGTACACTGAAGGAAAAAATGGTGTAAAACAGTTTTCACTAGTACATTTCATCAATAATTACAAAGAAATAAGTAACACACTGAATTAAATGTGAAATTTTGAAGTAGAACGACTGAAATAGTATTTTCTTGTACAATTTACTCTTCGAAAATATTAATTTTTTTACAGAGTACTTTCCTTATTTGATTTTTATTTTAGGAATTCAAAATCACAGTAACAATTCATTTAGCATTCTTTAGGATTTTTATATACATTTTATATCACTATACCCTGTTGAAAATACCAGCTTAGACTATCATGGCTGGTTAGTGCTGCCGTTGCTGGTTAAAGTAGTTAAGCAGCCTGGTTTGTGGCACCAGCTCACCAGTATATAAAACACGACTAGTTATGCTAGTCTTTTCAGCAGGATAGAGCATATAAAATATAATTCTGAATTTTTCCCCTCCAGGCTCCCATTGCCGTATGCGTCGAGCTCTGTGTTTGCAGGGTATGAGCTGGGGTATGTTCGGTTATGGAGCGAAGAGTTCGGGTTCTCCATCCGAATAGATCCCTCGCATAACATTCAACTAATGCTCGCCAAGCAGCACAGCAACCGTACGTGTGGCCTGTGTGGAAACTACAATTATTTGGTGGAGGATGAATACACCGCACAAGAAGGTGAGAAACGAATGCAGGAAAGAATCAAAAACATACCTTTCAAACTCTCTTTCAGTAAGATCATATGTTAAAAGCAGTGCACAGGATGCTGATTAATACGAGCTGAGGAAATAGGTGGCGTCAGTGTTCATCCTGAAGACAAAACATTAGAAAGTTTCAGTAGAAAGCTCTTTGTTTCAGAGCTTTGTGTGTGTGTTTGAGGGGTACAGTATGTTAGTGCCCTGTCATCGTTCTGTATTACAGCTTTTGTAGTTGATGGGGCACTTATCAGCTGTGTTTAAATTTAGAATATAATCTTTCACATGAGTCAACCACATGATAAGGAGAGCCAGGGAAACTAAGAGATAACAGAGCTGAAAGATAACATGTTTGAACAGGTGAAATCTAAGAAGGTGTTATGGTCAATTTCACCCCAAATACAGTGGGTACGGAAAGTATTCAGACCCCCTTAAATTTTTCACTCTTTGTTATATTGCAGCCATTTGCTAAAATCATTTAAGTTAATTTTTTTTCCTCATTTTTCATAAGTTGGCTTCTAAAGACTATTAAAAAAAACTAAAAAAAAAAACCTCATAATTAATGTGTCCGGAGAATTTATTTTTGTGTTTTCCTGTCTGTACACAATCAGTTTTTAAAAATTAAAATAAGCATAAATTAATTTTTGTTTTTGTTATATTTAAAACATTAAATAAATACTGTACTATTAAAATGATTAAAATACTAAAATGGAAATAATACATTTAAATATAAAAATAATAGTAATAAAATAAAACATTTCAATACATATATACTGTAATATATTAATTTGACCCTCTAACTCTAGCACTTTCTATTCTAATTCTACTTTATCTATATTTATCTTTTTTTTATTTAAAAAAAAACAAAAACACTAGCTTCATATTTTTTCTATTCTATCTACT